AACTAGGTTTGAATCCACAGACTACTCTTTTATGTGCTTTCGTTTAGCACCACTTCACTCTATCACCTTTCTTTTTGTTCTATATCGCTCTCCTTCATCTCAAGACTGCACTCTTCTTGATGTTATTTCTGAATATATTGGCCAAGCCCTCATTCTTTAGTTAGGGATTGAGAAAGGCAAAAGTTGTGGGCCTAAATGCCTGTGACTCTGCAGGCATTAAGGCCCACAACTTTTGCCTTTCTTAATCCCTAACTCAAATAGTCAACTTTCCAACTCGCTTTCCAGACAACCCGAATCATTTACCTTCTCTACTCGACTTATGTCTTGTTTTTAATACTAGTCAGTGCTCAGTTTCACCACACTCACCCTTAGGTGCTTCTGATCATGGTAGCTGATTCTGGTCATGGACCATCGGAATCCCCCTATCATTGTACATCTTACAACTACCTTAAAGCTGACTGGGACTCTTTCCGTGATTTTCTTCGTGATGGCCCCTGGGTAGAAATTTTTCGTCTTCCTGTTGACAAATGTGCTTCTTACATAACTTCGTGGATTCAGGCTGTCATGGAATTCTTTATTCCCTCTCAACGATTCCAGGTCAAGCCTCACTCTTCTCCATGGTTTTCCTCACATTGTGCTGCTGCAATTGCTAATCGAAACCATTACTTCCATATCTATCAGCAAAACAATTCTCCATAAAACAGACATCTGTTTATTACTGCTAGGGACCATTGTAAAATGGTTTTGTCTAACGCCAAAGCCTGCTATTCTCAGATCATGCAATCTCGTATTTCATCACAAAAAATTAGGCTCTCATGACTTCTGGAGAATCTTTAATAGTATCAATAATAAGGGCAAGTAGTTCCACCTCTTTTGTATGGTTCAGACTTTGTCACCTCACCTAAAGACAAAGCTGAATTGTTTGCCAAGAACTTTTCATTAATATCATCTCTTGATGCCACTAGTTGCGTTCTACCTGATATAGCCGTCAAGCTGGTTGATCCACTGCTCGACATCCGTATCACTCCAGCTTCTGTATCTAAAGTGGTTTCCTACTTAGACTCTTCTACAGCTTGCGGCCCGGAAAACATACCTGTTATAGTCTTGCAGAAGTGTTCTCCGGAGCTGTCGTCTATCCTTTCAAAACTATTTAACAAATGCTTATCAGAGTCTTGTTTTCCAGCCTGCTGGAAAGCAGCATCTGTTATCCCTATTTTTAAAAATTCTGGAGAGCGATCTGATTTATCTAACTACCGTCCCATTAGTCTTCTTCCTATCATAAGCAAGGTTTTTGAATCTTTAATTAACAAACACTTAATCTCTCATCTCGAATCTCATAACCTACTTTCTGATCATCAATATGGATTTCTATCTTCTCGTTCTACGGCTGATTTGCTAACAGTAATAACCGATAGGTTTTATCACACATTAGATAAAGGTGGAGAGGTTAAGGCCATCGCTCTTGACATTTCTAAAGCATTTGATAAAGTTTGGCATGCTGGTCTTCTCCCTAACCTTTCTTCTTACAGTGTATCTGGAAACATCTTTAAGATTATTTAATCCTTCCCTTCCAATCGTAGTATAAAAGTTGTCCTTGATGGACAGCACTCTTCTTCTTATTCTGTAACCTCAGGGGTTCCTCAAGGTTCAATCCTTGGTCCTATACTCTTTTTAATTTACATTAACGATCTTCCAGATTTTCTCACATCACATCAAGGTGGCATTGTTCGCTGATGATACTACCATTTATTCTTGTCACGATAAGAAACCAACTCCCTCTGATTGCTTGCAGGGGGCATCTGAGCTTGAAAAGGATCTCACTTCTGCTACAGCATGCGGCTCACAGTGGCTGGTGAACTTTAATTCAGATAAATCTCAGTTTTTTTCAGCCAATCGTTATCGCAATAATTTAGACCTTTCTATATTTATGAACGTTAATGTACTCGATGAGTCTCCTACCCTTCATCTTCTAGGATTAACTCTTACTTCTGATCTTTCTTGGAAACCTTATATCAAATCCGTTGCAAAATTAGCATCTGCTAAAGTCGCTTCTCATTATCGAGCTCGTCACTTTCTTACTCTGGATTCTATTCTCTATCTCTGTAAATCTCAAATCCGGCCTTGTATGGAATACTGTTGCCATATCTGGGGTGGATCTTCTAATGATGCCCTTTCTCTTTTAGACAAAGTGCAAAAACGCATTGTAAACATAGTTAGACCTGCTCTTGCAGCCAACCTTTAACCTCTGTCACATCGTCGTAATGTTGCTTCTCTTTCTCTTTTCTACAAGTACTATAATGGGCACTGCTCTAAAGTGCTAGCGTCTCTTGTGCCATCTACAAAAATTCATTTTCGTGTTACTCGTCATTCAGTTAAGTCTTTTCCTTTTTCTGTTACTGTTCCTAAGTGCTCCTAAAACTCTTATTTTTATCCTAGTTTTTTTCCTCGAACATCAGTTCTTTGAAATTTGCTTACTTCATCTTGCTTTCCTGATTCATATAATTTGCAATCTTTTAAGTCGTCTGTGAATCGTTATCTTGCTCTACAATCTTCATCTTTTCTCTTCCAGTAACTTCCAACACTAATTAGTGGGTGCTTGCAGCCTTGTTGGAAGCGAAGATGTTAAATATATATATATATATATATATATATATATATATATATATATATATATATATATATATATATATATATATATATATACATATATATATATATATTTCAATTTCAATTTACCTCTCCACTACAGGCAAGGAGGCTACTTTTGTTGTGGTTACAACCCTTTCTCAACTCTATAACTCTTAAACATGAACCTGGACAAACAAGATCGCTGCGTGAAGAAACAAGTTGATATATATTCTATATATATATATATATATATATATATATATATATATATATATATATATATATATATATATATATATATATATATATATATATATATATATATATATATATATATATATATATATATATATATATATATATATATATTTATAATGATTTTTATAGTTGATGTTTATATTTGACAGTGCTGACCATATCTGAGGAAATTTTTTTTTTATACTTCCGTCAAATTTCCATATGGCTAGTGCCATATTCCATGCAACATTCCATATGGCTAGTGCCAAATTATTTTTCTAGAATAACCCCTGATATATATACTCTCTCTATATATACATATTATATATATATATATATATATATATATATATATATATATATATATATATATATATATATATATATATATATATAAACAATTGTTATTGATTACAAATTTTTAATTTTTTATTTAACAGTATTCCTCTGAATCTCCAGCAGATTTTAATGGAAGAACTACTTAAAGGATATTCAATTTTACAAGTAATAAATTATTTATTTTATGATGCATTATTTTTTTTTATGCAGGATTTTTTTAGAGATAAGATTTGTAGAAGAAACTTTTTATTAATTACTGGTTGTTTTTTTTTAAGTTTTAAAGAATTAAAATTAAATATTATCTTATACAACTATTTAATTTGTTATTTTAAGTATTCTTATTAATATATATATATATATATATATATATATATATATATATATATATATATATATATATATATATATATATATATATATATATATATATATATATATATATATATATATATATATATATATATATATATATAAATTACGTATGAAGTCTTTTTATTTTTATGAAAACTTAATGACTTATAGTTGTCTTTTCCTTGACTTGTATCAAATTTCGTAGCTAAAAATAGCAACCCTAAAAAAAAAAAAAAACAGTATAAAAATTTTGAAAAAAATGTTCAAGACTTTTTTTTTTTTGTTACAAAAATTTTTTTTTTTAGAATTTTTTTTTTATTATTAAAATATTTTTCTTACATCCAATTTCAATTTTATACTTTGTTTAGAATTCGTTTCCTTTTTTAAATATTATTTTTTATTCTCTGTGGATAAGTTTCGCTTTCCCGAAATATTGCCGCGGTCACGTTTTCTGAAAAATTTATTATATGCGTGGACAAACAAGGCGTGCAACCGCACGCCTTTCCTGGGAAAACCTGATATATATATATATATATATATATGTATATATATATATATATATATATATATATATATATATATATATATATTTATATATGTACAACAATCAACTATTAATAAGTTTCGCTTTCCCGAAATATTGCCGCGGTCACGTTTTCTGAAAAATTTATTATATGCGTGGACAAACAAGACGTGCAACCGCACGCCTTTCCTGGGAAAACCTGATATATATATATATATATATATATATATATATATATATATATATATATATATATATATATATATATATATATATATATATATTGTTTAGTATTGTTATATATATATTGATTAGTCAGATTGTCGAGTGCAACATTGAAGACATTACACTCAAGGTTTTTTATTGCTTCTTCGTGGTTGTAACCAGCCGTTTCTTTTTTTTCTTTTATCAAATTTCAAGTTCTTTGCAACTTCTGTTGCCTCTATCAAAATCAGGTCCCAAGACAGACGGATTCAATCCAGATCCATCAAAAGGCCATTTAGAATTTTCACTTCATCATCGAGAGTGAGTTGAGTGGATTGAAGCAGAAGACTCACCTTGTTAACTGCCATCAAACATTTAAACCAAAAAGTAGTGATAACAAAATCAAAAGAATTCATCCATTTAATGAGATAATACACTTCATTACTACTTTCGCCTGGAAGGTCTAACTCTTTTAGACAATGAAATGATTTCAAGATCTCTCTTGGCTTTTTTGCCAGTGGCTAACTGATTCAATCCTTGAACTCCATCTTCTAACAGAAAGTTTATGTAATGATTGGCCTGTCTCCTCCTGAAAAATTTTCCAATGAACTGGGCTGCTGCTGAACAAATTGTATAGCTTTTGAATATTTCCAAAATAGGATTTTGCAGGAGCCGATGATTCAAAAGCGTGTACTGCACATATGTTCAAACTGTGAGCAGAGCAAGGAATGAAAATTGCTTGTGGATTATTCTGTCTTATCAAAGTTTGAACTCCATTGTAAATACCTGCCATATTAGCGCCGTTGTTGTAGCCTTGACCACGACAATTTTTTATGTCAAGCTCATTCTCTTCCAACACATTAAATATAAACTTTGTTATATCAGATCCCTTCTTCTTTTCAAGTTCTTCTAGCTTAAGGAATCTTTCTTTGACCTCGCACAGCTAATTATCATTGAAATGCAAAAAAAGAAAAACAAAAGTTATTTGTTCGCTGTGGGACGAAACGGGAGTGCTGTCCGTGATGATGGTGAAATATCTTAATTTTTTGATTTCTCAAATAACTTCTCGAACCACTAATTTGCCGCATTCCTTGATAAATTCATTTTGTGATTTCCAGGATATATAATGAGCTTGCATGCGTTTTTCTTCTTCTTGGTGCTTAGCAATAAGATGCATATGATCTTGTAATATTTTGTTGTGGCAAGCAATTAATTCGAGCGCTCCAAGGAAGTTTCCATTCCCATTTTTGAACAACTTTTGATTGGATCCTAATTACAAACAAAAAATAATAAAAATAGTAATCCATATTTATATCCAATTAAAACTTGTAATTTTGATTTTTAAATTACAAATAAAATAATGCAAAATATGATTTAAAATTTAAAAACAATATTCTTACCCCTAAAAGCTAAGTTTCTTGAAGCTAGAAAAATTGTGATGTCAAGAATGCATTGTAAAATTACTTTCCATCGCTTTGTTTCATCTCCAATTTGTTTTTCTAACTGATGCTCAATGGACTTTTGACTTTTCAAGTAAATCGTAGCTGTTTTCCATTGGAGATAACAGTTACGGTGAAAATCGCTTTGTTGATGACTTTTAACGCGATCTGAAAGTTTTCTCCAATTTCCATGTATACCTCCATTCCAAGACAACAAACTGGATTGAACACCGGGTCTGGTTAAGTTAGGCGATCCAAAAAGAGAGCAAGGGAAACAAAAGAGTGATGCCACAGCCTTACTCCAAACGAGCCAATCTCTTCTAACTTTTTCTCCGTTTCTTTGTTCCTCTAAAAAGATATAAGTAGGGAATTTGCGTTCTTTTTGATCTCTTGGAAAATTGCTAGGATTTGAAGAAGGTCCTATCAGAATTATATTCGTTCGAACAGTGTCTGATATTGATTTCCATAGTGCAGGATCGTTAGAGATTGGTATAGAAAGATCACTTTTATAAATTTGTTGGTCATTGTGACAATCAAGTACAAAATCCAACTGATCCTTTTTTAAATGTGGTGATGTTTTTTGGGAGTCATTGATGTCATCGGCAAGAAAAGGTTTGTCGGAATTATGGTCTGGCAACTCATTAGAGTCATTGATACCGATCTCAATATCATTGAACTATAAAGAAGTGTTAAACAGAATTATTCTTATTATTTTTTCATGAGTGTCACAAGATTTAAAAATAGTTTAACTACCTGCTTGCATTTATCTTCGATTTTTGTCCAACGAACACAATCTAAAAGCATTTGTTTGTTTTTGCTTTTGTTTTTTTTTCCGAATCATCGCTCTTTTTCTCCCAGCAGCTCCAGACAGCTGGTTCAATCGTGGAGGTCTTTGATTATTCATGCTAAAACTTATGACGATATAAAGAATTTTAACTTTTTAAATTTTAAAAATTAAAAATTTTATAATACTTTGGTGTTATTAATTGCAGAGAAAAAGTCAGTACTTACAATTAAAATATCCACTGAAGATAAGTTTCTTGTCAAAATATAGTCGGAACAAAATGCAGGTGAGTCAAAAACATACATATGCACAAAAGTATCCACAGGGACGCAAGGTTTAAGCAAAAATAAGTTAAACTATTAGAAGTTAGGCTTTTACAAACGTTAAATAAGAAAAAACTTTTTTAATGCTTTTTATTCTATCATGCGAACAAAAGGCCAATGAAAACGCGTGCGTTCAAATGGATAATGAAAACTTTGTAAAGTAATAATTATCCTATTTTAAATGCAAACAAAGTTTAAAAGGAGAAAGAAATTAATACACAAAAATTGCTTAATCTTTAAATATGTTACCAGCTAAATTTTTTATCATTTCAATAATTTTTTTTAAGGCATGTGATGCCCCATAGACTGTGATGCCTGGGGCAAACTACTTCAATTGCCCCCCCTCCTCTTGGCGGCTCTGTATATATATATATATATATATATATATATATATATATATATATATATATTTATATATATATATATATATATATATATATATATATATATATATATATATATATATAATTTAGTAGAAACACTTACAGTAGTGGCCATTGAATTAAGGCACCTAGCAGAATTGCAGTTTTAATTAAGCAAGTCCAGTTTCTTTTTTTTTTTTTTTTTTTTTTTTTTTTTACTTCTACTCCTCAAGGCTGAGAAGGCCACTACAGACGAGGTGGCTACTTATTTTGTGGTTATAACCCTCTCTCAACTCTATAACTCCGAAACACGAACCTTGTTGAACAAGGCCGCTGCGCGGAGAAACTTGTTGAGCGCGGTACTACCAGGGACGTGGTGGGGATCGAACTCGGAACCACTCGTTTATGAAGCGAGCGCCTCTACCACTACACCACTACCGCATAGTATTATAAAATGTTCTAAAACATATATAGCAGCATTACTTTTAAAATTCATCAACAAAAGTCTCAAAATCTTAGTATTTTGTAGGGTAACCATGATTTTTCAATACAGCCTGTATACGAGAAGGCATACTTTTTACAAGCTTGTCACAGTACTCTAAGGTAATTTCATTTACCCACACCTGCTTCAATACATCTTTTAAATGTTCCTCTGACATTGAACTATGTGCTGACACTTTAGCTTTCATTAAGTTCCAATAATTTTTAATAATGTTCAAATCAGGTGAATTTGAGGGCCAGTTCTTCAAAAGTTGCACATCGTTATCAGGAAACCACTTCTTGACTGATTTCGCAATATGACACGGTGCTGAGTCTTGTTGAAAGATGGTAGTTTCAGAAATGTTTATGTGTCTTAACCTTTCACTCTAAAACCTGTATATACTTTGCAGCATTGACCTTTTCGCCCTTACCAAAGATGTGGATTCTGCATCTACCCTTAGCTGAGATAGCTCCCCACACCATAACCGATGGCCGATGTTTAATGGTCTTCAGAGTGTATTGTACCCTGAACCACGAAGCTGCTGGAAAGTACTTTCGTCAGTAAACATCACAGTAGTCCACCACTCAGCAATTTTGTCCTTCATATCACAACAGAATTTCACACGTGCCTGAAGCTGCTTCTTGGTGAGAAACAGCTTCTTTGCTGGTCTACGCGCATGCAGTTTAAATTCTGTAGACAGACGTCTGCAAACACTTCTGGCACTAATATAAAGGCCTCTTTCTGTGGCAAATTGGGTAACTCGGGCAGAGGAAGTGTGAGTACTGGCTTGAACATTACTTTTCAGGTATCGATCATCGCGGGGTGTAGTTTTGCAAACGCAGTGGCAATTTTGACGAACTCCCATGCAATTTTATAACATTTTGTAAAGCGATATCTCGATATTTCTAGACGTTTACTAATGACAACTTGTAAGTACCCTTCACCATGCAAAGTTATGACTTGATCTTTAACAAAATCACTCAAATCTGCCTTTTTACCCATATTTACTTTATTTAATTTATTTACTATTTACTTTAAAAAAAAACTTTAATAAGCTTTGATGACATCTTTTAAACAAAGATATGCGAAAAATTTTAATTTGCTTCATTTAATGACATTGGCATATTATACTTTGCATATTTAAGAGGCACATTCAAAGTTATATTAAACTATCCAAAAACCGTAATGTGCCTTAATTCAATGGCCACTGTATGTAATTTTTGTGCTCTTTAACAGCATGTTTCACCATCAGTAGGTTCATCAGAGTAGGTTCATCAAAGCTTTTTGAAGACAAGCTGTTGAGGAGCACAAAAATTACATAAGTGTTTTTACTAAATTATTACTCTGTTCTTTAAGAACATTGAGCACTCTATTTGTAGAATACACTAACATAATATATATACAAATACATACATATATATATATATATATATATATATATATATATATATATATATATATATATATATATATATATATATATATATATATATATATATATATATATATATATGTATATGTATATATATTTTAAAATACACAGGTATCTATAAAATATAATGTGAACTTCAATTAAAGATAAAATATTAGTTATAGAACATTGTCAATATTAATGCAGCCATTGTTTTAAACTGAGATCCCTCTTTTGTTTTATCAAACTCGATTTAGGTCAAATATCAACTTTGGTTGTTTACTACTTGGCTTCATCTGTTTGTTTATAAATATTTGCAATTGTTATATTATACTATTTATTTATTGTATTATACTATATTTTTTTATATTAATTGTAATTTTTTTTAAATTTATTTTTTGTGTTGTGTTTTACTACAAAATTGAAATTTTTTTAAACAAAACTTGGTCATATTTTACTTTAGCTTTTCGATTCAAAATCTTTTTTTTTACTTCTACTTTAATGTTCAAAATATCTTGATTATATTAATTTTTTTTAGACTCCCAAACCAGAGGACTTTGATATAAACAAATTTGATAAATCTACTGCAATGGTTCATATTATTTACAATCGATGGTATTTTTATATTTTGTATGTATGTATGTATGTATGTATGTATGTATGTATGTATGTATGTATGTATGTATGTATGTATGTATGTATGTATGTATGTATGTATGTATGTATTTACCTTTTACCTTTAAGACTACGTAACTTAAATAGGCAATTTGAAAAACTGTAGACAAAATAGAGTATATAGATATATATGACTATTTCAGTATAATGTCATTGATGACATATTAGGTCAATTTTTTATAGTAGCTTGTTTCTCCACGCAAAGTGGCCTTGTTGATTGAGGTTTATTTTTCGGAGTTATAGAGTTGAGAGAGTGTTGTAACCACAAACAAAGTAGCCTCCTCAACTGTAGTGGCCTTTATAGCCTAGGGGAGTTGAATTAACATTAGCAATTAAAAAAAAAAACTCTTTACTAAATTAGTGGTTTGCAGGTTTGTTGGCTGTGACTTCATGAAAAAATGAGGCTTTTTGACATGATGAACTTTGCAATTTATATTAATAAGGTTTTTGAGAATTAAATTTTTTTTTTTTTTTTTAATATTAGGGTTGTTAGAACAATAACAAAATATGAAGAAATGAAAGAAAGAGATGTTTTGCAAAACAATATGTAAGTTTTGTACTTTCAATATCCAAATGAAAAAAATACTTAAAATATATCCTTCAGTTTTTTAAATTGATTATTTTTATCTAGTTCTTTTGTTTTTGTTTTTAAAATGTTTTCAAATAGTCAAATAAGAACATATAAAATTTTTGTTCAATGCATTTTCATGCTTCTCAAGGTAAATGTTTTAGATAAATGTCAGTTAAAGAAATTAAATTTTTTCATTGCATTTTTATGCTTCTGATTGAAAACGTTTTAGATCGATGTCAGTTAAAGAAATTAAAGAGAATCAAGAAGAACAAATATTTCAAAAAGTAAATAAATACTTTGAAAACTTTTTTTCTACACTCACTCTTTACTTTTAGATAAAAACAAATAATAAATTATGAATATATATTATTATATGATACATATCAAATTTTATTAAATTTTAAAAATATACTGATATATGTATAAATTTTATATATTTTTTTTGCATCCTTGACGACTCAGAGTAATAAAAACTACTTTTAAAAATAAATAAGAACAAATCTAATGTTCATGAATATGTATAAATAAAAACAAATCTAATGTTCATGAATATGTATAAATAAAAACAAATCTAATGTTCATGAATATGTATAAATAAGAACAAATCTAATGTTCATGAATATATGTATAAATAAGAACAAATCTAATGTTCATGAATATATGTATAAATAAGAACAAATCTAATGTTCATGAATATATGTATAAATAAAAACAAATCTAATGTTCATGAATATATGTATAAATAAGAACAAATCTAATGTTCATGAATATATGTATAAATAAGAACAAATCTAATGTTCATGAATATATGTATAAATAAGAACAAATCTAATGTTCATGAATATATGTATAAATAAAAACAAATCTAATGTTCATGAATATATGTATAAATAAGAACAAATCTAATGTTCATGAATATGTATAAATAAAAACAAATCTAATGTTCATGAATATATGTATAAATAAGAACAAATCTAATGTTCATGAATATATGTATAAATAAGAACAAATCTAATGTTCATGAATATATGTATAAATAAGAACAAATCTAATGTTCATGAATATATGTATAAATAAGAACAAATCTAATGTTCATGAATATATGCATAAATAAGAACAAATCTAATGTTCATGAATATATGTATAAATAAGAACAAATCTAATGTTCATGAATATATGTATAAATAAAAACAAATCTAATGTTCATGAATATGTATAAATAAAAACAAATCTAATGTTCATGAATATGTATAAATAAAAACAAATCTAATGTTCATGAATATATGTATAAATAAAAACAAATCTAATGTTCATGAATATATGTATAAATAAAAACAAATCTAATGTTCATGAATATATGTATAAATAAAAACAAATCTAATGTTCATGAATATATGTATAAATAAAAACAAATCTAATGTTCATGAATATATGTATAAATAAGAACAAATCTAATGTTCATGAATATATGTATAAATAAGAACAAATCTAATGTTCATGAATATGTATAAATAAAAACAAATCTAATGTTCATGAATATATGTATAAATAAGAACAAATCTAATGTTCATGAATATATGTATAAATAAGAACAAATCTAATGTTCATGAATATATGTATAAATAAGAACAAATCTAATGTTCATGAATATATGCATAAATAAGAACAAATCTAATGTTCATGAATATATGCATAAATAAGAACAAATCTAATGTTCATGAATATATGTATAAATAAAAACAAATCTAATGTTCATGAATATATGTATAAATAAGAACAAATCTAATGTTCATGGATATATAATAGCTTCACTCTTACATACGACTGATTTAGCCCTGAAAATAGTTGAGTATACATCATAAAGTTCTTGTATTTAGTGACTCCATTTTAATATAAACAAAATTAGCATTGTTATTAAGAGATATGGAGATTGCAGCATTCTAATTCACTTGAGGGATCATTTTTTCTATATCTATTCTATATCAGTTTTTTTTCTGAAAATAAAAAAAGTCTTACCTACAAAAAACTTGCCAAGTAGAAAAAAACTTCAATTCAACTAATTCAAGTTATATAGTTGTTAATAATATAGCAGGCTTTGTTTATAGATGCATGATAGAAGATATATATATAAATAAATTTAAAAAAGTTGAGTTTTGATCTGCTTATTGTGAATTTATAACTATCATTTTATCTGGTATTGCAATACTTATAAAGAAGCAATCATGACTAAAATATTTTTCACATGCACTAAATGATATATGAATAAGAACATTCTCAGTAGCACCAACAGCAGATATTGTTCTATGCGTTAAGTAAATTGCTTGGGATTTACCATCCTTTTGCCTCTGACCAGCTCCATAGCATATCTTGGAAACTTCTGAAAAGCTAAAATTTGAGATTTTTTTTTTAATATTTATTGCAGGAGGTTTGTTTTTTCAGATACATATTTGTTATAGAGCGTGATGGCTCATATAATGACATCATATAATGACATGATGGAATCATATAAACATATGATGACATATTTATAATGAGCCTGATGGCTCATAAATATGTTTTTTCCATTAAGTTTTTCCTTCCATCTGTTATTGATCTGTTTTAAAGTGGGTGTATCTACCAAAAACACCTGAAATAGTCCCTTAATGCTGTTTTAAAACACTGGTTTTGTATTCAAGTTTTGTATATATGTTTTAAAACACTGGTTTTGTGTATAAGTTTTGTATATATATGTTATTTAGTTAAAATGTTTGATAACTAGGACATATACAAATTACGAGTGTTGTCATTTGTTTTTTTTTGCATCTAAAAAAAATATTGTGGCAAGACAATATTTTTATTACTGTTTATTATCCAATATAGTTGTTGTTCATTATCATTAGCATTAGCTATATAAATGTCATAAAGTTAATCCAGATTAAAGTTAAGATTTTGATTGTTAAGTTTACAATACTTTAAGTGTGCATTGTGCTTTGTACAATTGGGAGTCACACACAATCGAAACTTAAAAGTTAAGGCTTCATAAAATGTTTACAATGTAAATATTTTATTCCTTTGCAAATTTTAAACAAAACATATAACAAATTGTTTTGTATATAAATTCTTATAAATCAATTATAAAAAAAATTGTTTCCAAAAAAAAGGTGCTTTTAAAAGAAATAAATAGAAGTAAAAAAAAAACATAAAAGTTATTATGTCAAAACACATAAAAGTTATAAAGTCAAAAAAAACATTAAAGTTAGCTGCAAAAATGCAGTAATTTAGGAGCAACCTTAATAATCTTTTTGATATATACTTTTGCGTGTTTACCATTTGTGTCTTTCATAGTTGCAAATAGATTTTGAACTTTTGTTATAATAGATTTATTTAAAGCAATCATTGATTGACTGACAAACATAGATTTTAAGACACATGTTATTCACATCTATGTATTAACAGTGTCATTTTCAATTACAACAATTTCATGATTGCTCAAGTACAGATCTAAATGGTGGATATTATTTTGTTCTTGTTATATACGGTTTTCAGATTTACGTTGTTTTTTAAAAAAAACCATGAAAACATACCTAATAGAACTGTTTATAAATACTTATGAATTGCATGCAATATAAGATAAATTTTGCAATTGCAAATGAAAAGGCACTTAGTTAATTGTAAAATAATAATATCTAATAAATAAATGATGTCAGGTTAAAAAATATAATTAAAAAAAAAAAGAGAGAAGAAAATAAAATTTGGTAAGTTAACACAAGCAGAAAAAACAATATAATATAGAAATATAAAATAATTATAGAAAAATTTTAAAATAATTATAAAAACTAAAGTTTAAATAAAAAAAAAGATTTTAAAAATCATAGAGTTGCTTATTTGTGGTGCAGTCTGTGTGTGTAGGTCTGTTAAGCTTTACAATTTGTTAAGGTGAAGGGGAGGGGTGGATTGAATGTCTAAAACTGTTAAAAATTGTAAGACGTAATTTGTAATTAACCCCTGAATAAACTCTAGAAAATTCTTCACTAAGTTCACTAATTGGGATTTTAGTTTATAAAATAAATATTTTTTTAAACAAAAATACTTTTTTTATAAAATAACGTTACAAAAACCTTTTCATTTTGTTAGAATGTTTGTTAGAATCATTTTTCATTCTTATTATTTTATTGTGTGGTTGGTAAAATTATTTCTTTGTATGGTCAGTAAAATCATTTCTTTGTTTAATGTGTTCTGTTTGTTATTATGAACATGATATAATGTAGTTTATTAAAATATATAGTTATATTATATTATTATTTTTAAAGTTTATTACTATATATTCAACTTGTTATGAATAGTTATCTTAATAAATTTTACATTTTACTAATATAGATAAAAGAATACAGAAATCTTTCATTGGATATTTTGGAGAAGGCCATTTTGCTTGATCATGATATTGAAGTTCCTTTACCAAAACCACAACTAGTTTTACCAGACAATAATATCGATAACCCTAGCAACAACCCTAATGATAAAAATCAAGAAAGTAATGTTCTGCCATCTGCAACATATGTTGTTTCTGTTTCAAAGATTGTGTTAGAGGTTTAAAAACATTTTTAATTTGTTTTCTTTTTTTCATTTAAAAATATGTATAACATAAACAATAATAATCAATAAAATAATAGCATTAAAACAATCTTTATATTTATTATGATAACTGTTTAACACTGAATTAAATAATAAATTAGTAATTGTTAGTTAAATTAAATATAACTAATAAGTCTTTATTTTTATTAATTATAAATTATAGATTGCAATCTTATTAGAAGTAAAAATTTAAATTATTTACATAAAAAAAAAAGATTTTACTTTTTAGCTTTAGCCTAAAGTTTCTTTAATTTGAGACAAGTTTTTAAATGTTATTTTAGTGAAAGTTTTTATATTGGTGCTTATCCCTTTGAAAAATTTTATAGTTATTTGGTTTATTTAAAACATAACTAAATAAATGTAAAACATTGCAGTGTTTTGTATTTCCTAATCATTAGATGAAGCTACAATTTGTTAGAGGCAATTTGTTATCTAAAGGTTTATGAACTATTTTTTATATTTTTTATGTTTCTTAAAATTGGATAATTTTATTTTAAGGTAAATCATGTTTTTAATTTTATTATTAATTTTTTCCCTATTATGGATATATACCTAAAAATCAATTTTTTTATTATAAAATAAACTGTCATCAAATAAATGTCTATTTATTTGATTACTGGTTATTGCACTGCAAAGAAGAACATTATAAAGATAATTAAAGAATGTTACATTATGTAGCAAAATACTTTTAAAAAAAGTGAATACTATAATAACTGCATTTTTTTACTTTTAAGCTCAGGTTACTTCCTACTAACAGGCCTTCTCATAAGAGGCGTGCGAATGGACGCTTTATATAACCACGCATATAGTTCTTTGTTTTAACAACTTGACCACGGCTCTTTGCAAGTTTCGATAATAAGCGCGTTTTAAAAATGCATTCCATAATTACAATTAAACTGCCACAAAATTTCCTGAGTACTTTAATGCAATCTAATAAAAGCAATTGTTGAAAAAAATATTCAGATTAGAGTTTAAAGCTAAATGAGTACAGAAGCTATCAAAAAATAATTACAAACCTTTTTATCATGGAACTATAACTTCTAATAAAGAAATTATTTACTAAAAAAAAGAATTACAATAATCTAGAAATAGTCGCATTTGCCAACTATTTTTTATCCCAGGGCGTGACATACCGTTTTTTTTTTTAATGAAAGTTGATTTGCGTATCTTTATTTATTGACAAACGTCTAATTTATGAGATTTATGTCAAATAAATTTCAAATAATTTTTATTCTAGTTAATAAGTTATCAAATATATCAAAGATGCTTGGTAAATTCAATTGTTATTTTTCATAAACTTTTTTTTTATACATTTGCAAAGCGCACGCAAATTAATGTTAAACGCACAATAAAAAATACTTTTAAAAGTGTTTTTATTATGCAAACAAACATTATTTCAGTTTATGGAAAATAAGAAAATTAAATAAAAAAGCATGCACAACTTTATTTATAATGAAATCATTTGCTCTAAACTTTTAATGTAATTGCTAAAAACAGAAAAAAAACCAAGCTTAAACATTATGATCGCTTTCTTCAAAAAACAAAAACAATCAATGTGTTTAGGGACGGTTTCTTTGGAGGTTTTTGCAAAAGCATCTATTTTAAGTAAAATTATCATACTTTTGTGAGCGCATGCAAAAACCATGCTAAAACATAATTACTTTTTTCTATTTATTTAACTTAAAAGAGACGCTATTGAAAAAAGTAATTATGTTTTGGGATTTTTTAAAAAAGTCTCTGTAATAAATTGTTTTTCATTTATAATATGTGTTTTTTGTAATAAATAAAAAACTATTGATTGCAAAATTATTTTGAAAAAATTGCTGAAGTAATGCATTTGTTTTGAAAAATCTTAATCAAACTGCAACGCTTGCATAAGCAAAATTAAAGAAATGTGATGTTTGTTTTTCTGTCTGTCTTTTAAGAAATGCGCACACATTTGTCGATTTGTTGCACCCTGTATCCTTTTAACTTTTTGAAAAAATTTTTAATTTGCACCACAAAATTTTATTAAATTTCATGACCCTTTTCCTCACTATGGATTCGCCCTTGTATTAGCCTATTTATTCATGGGAAGGAATGATAAAGATTATTAGAGCTGTGATTTTTTCACTTTTGCTTCCAATTAAGTTTAAATTAATTAATACATGTTTTGATTTTTTTTTTAGTTTTTCCTTTATTTATTTTATCATTCTTTAAATATTTTACTTTTTTAGGTTAATTTTTGTTATATATATTATTTTAAGGATTTCATTCTTTTTTCAGTTTATGGATTGTTTATTTTAATTTGCTTTGTTTTTTAAGCGCAATTTTTAAATGCGCCAATTATTAAAACTTGCAATGAGTCGTGGTAAAGTTGTTAAAACAAAGAACTATATGCCTGGTCATATAAGGCGTGCGATCGCACACCTCTTACGAGAAGGCCTGTACTAATGTTGAGATTTATGTTTTTATAGTTTTCTGAATTATCATATAATCAGTCTTAAAGAAATGTCAACTTTAACTTGATGTATTAACATTAATAATATACAAAGATATTATAATATCAACCCTCGGAATTAGGAAAAATGAGGTCAGCAAATTATTGCAAACCTGAATCTTTTAGAAGTTGGCATTAATTCGGCCAAAAAAAATTTAATACAAAGGTCTTACCATATAACATAGAAACGATGTCTGCAATTTTTGCCAACCTCAAACACTTCAAGGTTGGCAGTTAGTTTGTGTATAATGTATATTCTTATTAGAAATATATTCCAGTAATCTTAAAATATAAAAATTGAATTTATAGTAACTATTATTTCAAATAACGTTTAAATATTTAAAAAAATATTTTATCTATTTTTTTTTTGTAAATAAAATAGTTGAAAAAAATCAAAAAATCAAAAAATTAATTTTATAAATAAATAAAACTGATAAATTATGAAACTTTGTTATTTAATAATTAATTACTTTAAGCAATACTTATTTAATGATAAATTAAGGTAAATATTAATTTAAAATTATTAATAATTCATCATGTTTTTAGGTTTCTTATGATCTAGGCTGTTATTATTTTCCAAAAGAATTATACAATGATGCATGGAGACATTTTCATAAAGCATTTCACCTTATTGTAGGTTGTTTAAGTTTTTAATTTCAAAGTTTTTAGATGGAGGTTTCCCGTTGGAGCACTTGGTTCTGCTCTTAACAAAAGTTAACTTAAAACACTTTTTTGTAACTTTAAACGCGTATTCTGATTTTTAATAGTATTATAAAAATTTATTCTAACTTCACTATTTAATAAAAAAAACTATTTTTTGTTTTCTACCTTATTTTTTTAAGGAAGAAGGTGGGGAAAGTTTGAAGTCACATATTGACTTTGAAAAGTTATCTGGTTATTATCAAGCATGTTCAAGTCTTGTAGACAAAAAGGTTACAAAAGGCAATAACCTTTTAATGCGATTAGAAGAGTCTGCTAATTCTGCATTTACTGTAAGAATTTTATTTAAAACGTTTTTTGTAGTAATTATGAAAAGAATGTCAAATAATATATATATATATATGTGTGTGTGTATATATATATATATATATATATATATATATATATATATATATATATACATATAAATATATAAATATATATATATATATATATATATATATATATATATATATATATATATATATATATATATATATATATATATATATATATATATATATATACATATAAATATATATATACATATAAATATATATATATATATATATATATATATATATATATATATGTATGTTTGTTCCTGTACTTCCCTAAACTAATTTACACTAGTTGTTTACTGTTCATGAAAAGTAAAAAACTAAGAAGTTTTCTTAATACATAAAATTAATTTCAATGAGTTTTTTTTTCATACAGTTATTTATAAATTTAAGCAGGTATGATTATATTAAGCTATATAAACTTATATTTTCAGAATATATTGTAATCTTTTTTAACGATTTATATGTATTTTGTCTATGCGACACAAAGATCGCAAAAAGTGACCAACGGAGCCATTCAGTTATGTAGACCTGGGAGATGTGAAAATAAAAACAGATTGTAGATGATGTCATTTAGGTAAAAAAACACAAATTAATGTAAAGACTATTTAGTAGGAGGAGTAAAAGTTAGCGACTCAAGAGGAGAGGAACCATAACTCAGACTCTAATCATCTTAAACAAACGATAAAACAATGATGCATGAGTAAACAAGTCAATATAAATCCGCTGATTTATTAATGGTATCTATTACTAAAATAATCGCACCATACAAAAACAATAAAATAAGTAGATAACAAAATAATAAGTAAAATGATAATAAATGACAGTTAGATCAATATTTAAAAAAAAAATTAAAAAATAATAATGTTGAATAAATGTGGTACTATATATGTTCTGAACTCTAGATAATAAATGGAGAACTGATAATCACCTGTATAACATAAAAATATATAAATGTCGTTAATGTAACAAATTCATAATAAAGATTTCACAAAGCGCAATACTTCAAGTGTGTAAGAGGTGAAAAAATGTTGGTGTCAAAATAACCAATTAGAATTAAGTAGTGGATAAATGGTGATCCCCCTTCTCAGGAATGCACTGCGATCACTAATGACGTTTCGGAGAACCTGAGACCTGCACTAACGCCACTTGTCAGAGGCGTGTCCTTGCAACAGATCTCACCGCCTGCACTCTACGTCATGCTAGTCAATATTGCAATATAATAGGACTACGCTACAAAAACCAAAAACCCAATCCCTATCCCAGTTTTTAAAATCTTGTGAGTGTGATGAGGGATGCGCGTGGTGTGACCATAAATAAATATATAAACACATATAAATATAATGTACATATTTTTTAGAAGAGACAAATTTGAAAAAAAACAACCACAAATGCCAATTTCAAACAGACAGAAAAATAAAATTCAGTCAAACACTTATCAATTAGTTTAGAAAAAGAGAGATAGAAGAGAGTTATGAAGAGAAGTTTTATAATATTATGATAGTAATGTTATCTGGACCACAAGCTTTTGAATAGTTTAATAGAGAAATGCCTTTAGCAATGGAAGCTAGAGTGATTTGAATGTCTAACAATGGATTAACCTGTTTAACTGGAATGTCAGGAAGAGTATGGTCATTAAATTCAATAGTCAAATTAGAAAAAAAGTTCATTACAATATATATATATATATATATATATATATATATATATATATTATATATATATATATATATATATATATATATATATATATATATATATATGTATATATATATATATATATATATATATACATATATATATATATATATATATATATATATATATATATATATATATATATATATATATATATATATATATATATATATATATATATATATATATATATATATATGTATATATATATATATATATATATACATATATATATATATATATATATATATATATATATATATATATATATATATATATATATATATATATATATATATATATATATATATATATATATTGTAATGAACTTTTTTTCTAATTTGATTAATTATAGAAGCTACAGGATCATATATATATATATATATGATATGAACTTTTTTTCTAATTTGAAAAATTATAGAAGCTACAGGATCATATATATATATATATATATATATATATATATATATATATATATATATATATATATATATATATATATATATATATATATATATATATATATATATATATATATATATATATATATATATATATATATATATATATATATATATATATATATATATATATATATATATATATGATCCTGTAGCTTCTCAAACTTAATTTAATTTATTTCAGGGAATTACTGCAATACTTATGGAGGATAATATTTTAAAAGAAATTCCTTTTACACAGCGACAAAGTGTTGAAACAAAGTTGTATCTGCTAAATATGGCCGATACATTGCATAGTGTTTGTACATTAAACTTTATTAGAGCTTGTCTGGATGGCTTGATAATATCAGAAAGTTTTTTACTTTCCCTTAGTTCAATGACAAAGTCTGAAGTTAAACTTTTTATTGAAGTAAGATGATTTTTGCTTATTAAGAGTATGTTTTAGAATTATTTAGAATAATAGAAAATTTTTTAAGGAGGGGAAATTCTCAAAACAAAGTGTATTATTTACATTATTGTATTTTATTTAGTTGTGCTGTAAATGCTATTCAAAGTTACGATGTGAATCAACTAAAGAACGCTTGGTTGATGGAATAAGGTTGATGGAATAAAAGAATCTTTTTTATCTTCTCAATTTATCTAGTTTGTTGTTTCAAATTTTATGCCAATACATAAATTGTTTTTTATATTTTATTTTTTTATACTAATGCAAAAACTTGGAGTATTATTATTTATAATATAAAATAAGACAATTTTAAGTATATCAAAATTATTTTTGGTTATATTGTAACAATATTCCATTCCATAGCAACTTACATAGTAAAATATAAATTATTTATAAATAGTAATATTTATTTTAAATTTTGTTATAGATATCAAAATTATTTTTTATAGCATATTACATATATCCTATATAAAGTTTTTGTTGTTTGAATAATTAAAAATAATGTTAACCATAAGTTATAATTCTTCATAATAACAAGAGGTTTTCAGTCAAAAAATGGTTTATTAAAATTTTTAAATAAAGTGCTGTTTTTTTTTTTAAACAATTGCATTTAGATACCACATATATAATTTAAAACACATACCACAGTTAAATTAAAAAATATAAATGAAATTTTCTTTTGTTTTTAGGTAAAGTTCTTTTTTTTTTCCTTCACAAATTTAAAAAATTGAAAATATTTGTAAATTCAATACAGATCGAACTCTTGTAATTCATAAGATCATTTAAATCACACATTTTTTTTGTTCTCCCTTAGGGTTTAATATTTTGAAGTGAACTCCTATAACTCAAAATCCTTGTAATTCAAATATATTTTGAAGATTGTAATTCAAACATATTTTAGGACCAATTTTAGTTATAAGAGCTCAACATTTCAGTTAAAATCAATTAAAACTAAAAAAAGAGAAATTTCTGTAAGGATTTTTCATGAAAAAATGTTGTTTAAAGTAATTACTTTTTATTAATGATATGTCAGCCATAAAATAGTCAGGTATAGCAGCATATTTTGTTAATATGTCCGCATGCTTTATCATATTTTTTAACATTTTTTGTGACATAAAAAATGTTAAAAAATATGTAAAAGTGTTGATGTCAGCCATTTTGTGCCAACTTAATGCTGACCAAAAAAATTCAGCAGTTTGTTGCTGAACTTATTTTTACGAATTCCAAGGTTTGATTGTAAATGTTTTAATATGAGTAAATGTTTGAGGTTTGATTGTAAATGTTTTATATGTTGAGTAAATTTTAAATGCTTTTTTCTTTTAGTTTTATAAATAATTTTCTTTATTTTTGCATCATTTTTTGCAATACATTGCATCATTTTTTGCAATGCCTTGCATCATTTTTTGCAATGCATTGCATCATTTTTTGCAATGCATTGCATCATTTTTCTGCAATACATTTGCAAATGCAATTAAAATGCATTTTACCATAAGTACAAATTACAATAATTATGAATAATTCACTAAATTATTAAAAACTTTATTAAACTTAATGAACATTTTTTTTAGCTCTTTATTAATTTATATGTAAATTTTATTGAAATTATTATTATGACAAGTTATTTTGTTATTCACTGCTGTTTTTTTTTCTACAATAAATGCTGCGATTGTTAAATATCTATGCATTGTATACCATTGTATACCATTTTAAGAAACACAAAATTTTGTAGAAAAGGAAAAAAAAATTAAGAATCTTGCAAAAACGATATAACAGTTTTTTAATAAACCAAAAGAAAACATTTTTCTCTATTATTTCTTATTTTTTGTTTTAAACTGTTTTTTGTTAATTTACTTTTATTTTTATTTTTAATTTCTTAATTTTTAATTTTGATATTTTATTTAAATTTTTTATTAATTTAAGTATACATTTAATATTCAAAAAATGTTTGAAACTTACTCAAAAATAGTCATGATATCTCGAAATGTTTTATAAAATTTCAACAGCTGTAAAGTATCAGAGTATTATAAGTGCTCTGTTGGGCATGCAAGGTGTCATTGTTAGTGTTTTTTATGTGCATTTTCAAGGTCACATAAAGAGCTGTTTTTTATAACTTAGTGATAATAAGCAGGAATGAGGCAACCATATAGCTTATTGTTTAGGTTATCATTTATCTATTATCAAGTTAATTTTTACCTATCATCGAGTTAAGTTTCTCTCAGTCAGGTCAGGTTATCCTGCTACTAGTAACATGTAGGTCAATACAATCTGCTTTATGTCCTGCTGCCTTGTAAGATACGCTTCTTTAGGCAAAGGCTACAAGAAGCCAACTCCAATTTAAAACACCTCTTGTCTTGGGGCTCTTGATTGAGAAAAGGCTAAAGATGGTGTCTCGATAAAAATACTTATCTTGGGCAGATGTTAAACGCATCTGGCTACTGTCTTGTAGAAGGCTTCCTAGGTAAAGGTTTAAGGGGTAAACAGATTCTATCTGTTAACCAACCTTGCACCCCTTCTTCATCTATTAGGTTGGCGCAGATGTATTTATAATACATTGTTTCCAGTTTAGGATGAGTTCTTTATGACTCAATGCATGGGTTTTGCTTGTTTTTATGACTAGGCTACTCATTCTATTATCTCCTAATTAGGGTACAGCTCTAAAACTTAGTTTTATGGTTCTGAGGCTGGCTGGTAGTCTGGTTTCCCAAATTCTGTTATAGCTCTCAGAGAGGCTGATTCCATCAACAGCTGCAAAATATCAGAGTACTAGCAGTGCCATGTTTTGCATGGATGGTGTTTGTTTGTACTTTTGGTGTGCATTGTTGAGACTACATTTGGAGCTCTTTGTTACAGCTTAGGGTTTATTAATAGTAATGAGGCAATTGCTTGGGCTATTAAGTATTGTGCTGAGTACTATCTATGCTTTATGTCAAGTTCTTTAGCAAGGTTAAAAATGGCTTAAGTGTTAAAAACTATAAACCACAAAAAACCATCATCATCACCAATATTCATTCACTAATATTCGTGGTCTTCAAAGTAACTTTTCTTCTGTTGAGTCTTATTTCTTGTAAAGTTCACCAGACCTACTTGCTAATTGTGAGACTAATTTGAGTTCAGCTGTCTCATCTTGTGATCTTAGTATTGATGGTTATCTGTACTAAGAAATAAGACTCAACAGAAGAACTGCACTCTTTTTGATGTTATTTCTGATCAAAATGACCAAGCCCTCTCACTTTATTCATCAACCAATATTGTTGTTGTTGGTGACAATGTTCATCACACTGAATGGCTTAGCTCTAGTGTCAGTGACTCTGCAGGCATTAAAGCCCACAACTTTTGCCTTTCTCAATCCCTAACTCAAATAATCAACTTTCCAACTCGCTTTCCAGACAACCTGAATCATTTATCTTCTCTACTTGACTTATGTCTTGTTTCTGATCCTAGTCAATGCTCAGTTTGTTCACATTCACCATTAGTTGCTTCTGATCACAGTTTGATCTTTCTAAAACTATTATCTCATTCTTCTTCATCATCGGAATCTCTCTCGTCCTACCTCTTACAGCTGCCATTAAAATGACTGGGACTCTTTCCATGATTTTCTTTGTGACAGCCTTTGGGTAGAAATTTTTTGTCTTCCTGCTGATAAATGTGCTTCTTACATAACTTCTTGTAATCAGGTTGGCATGAAATCTTTTATTTTCTTTCCACGTCAAGCCTCACTCTTCTCCTTAGTTTACCTTACATTATGCTGCTGCAATTTCTAATCAAAACCATTACTCCCATATCAAAAAAATCTCCACAAAACAGATGTCTGTTTACTATTGCTGAAAATCATTGTAAAAAGGTGTTGTCTAACACTAAAGTCCGATATTCTCAGGTCATGAAATTTTGTATTTCATCTAAAAAATTAGTCTCTTGTGACTTCTGGAGAATCTTTAACAGTATCAATAGTACGGATAAATCTGTTATTACTCTGTTGTACTATTCAGATTTTGTTACCTCACCTGAAGGCAAAGCTGAATTACTGGCTAAGAACTTTTCATCAGTATCATCTCTTGATTCCACTAGTTGTGTTCTACCTAATATAGCCGACAAACAGATTGATCCATTGCCTGACATTTGTATCACTCCAGCTTCTGTATCTAAAGTGATTGCATGCTTAGACTCTTGTACAGCTTGTGATCCGGACAACATACCAGAGCAACCCTTCATCTTTTAGGGTTAACTCTCACAGGATGATTTTTTAAAAAAAATATATGTATATCCTTTTATATAACTCAACATGCAAAATTATTTTTATCCCTAATTGAGTCAAGTGAAAGTTGTTTTCAAACTATGATACTAGTTCATGCACAAGCTGAAAAAAAATTAATGAAGATTTTAAAAATTGATTAAGACGGTTTCTTATGCTACAAAAGCAGGGGCACATTGATTCACTTGACAGAAAATTAGTAGAAAGCAAACAGCAATTATTTTAAAGATAAATGCAAGCAAAATAGTGTGCAGCTGTAGTATTGCTATTGCCTGGTTCTGAATTTGCAAATGAAGTATCTGAAACTGTGCTAACAAGTGCATACATTTAAAGACAATACTCCTTGCATAGACATTGTCAACACTAAATTGTACAAACACAAGCTTTGCTTTAGCTTGGTAATAGAACAAGAAAGTTATTAGGTGTTCCTGCAATCCTGGTACAGGTCATGCTTTAGCAAATGCATAGGACAGGTTCTATCATGGAAATGCGGATCAAATGATGCAGCCTCCCCAGACTGTAAATACATCAAAAAGCATATGATGTCTACAAGAAAACCACTTACGTTAAAATACATTCCAATAACGTTATTGGAATGTATTTTAACGTAAGTGTCTCAAACACTGGCAATAAGTTTACAAGAACTTTTAAATTACAAGAGAAGTTTGGCAGACAAAATATGCTGTGGTTTTCTTGTAGACATCATATGCTTTTTGATGTATTTACAGTCTGGGGAGGCTGCATCTTGGAATCATCATCTGGGAATCATCATCTGGGAATCATCATCTGGGAGGCTGCATAAGCGCAAAGCATTGCAAAAACTGGCATAAGTGCGAACTGGCATATGTGCGAATCGGCATAAGTGCGCCAAAACATTTTGCAAACATTGGCATAAGTGCGAATCAGTTACAAAAACTGTCAAAAATGCGAACTGGCATAAGTGCGAATTGGCATGAGTGCGCCGAACAAATTTGTAAACATTGGCATAAGTGCGAATTGGCATAAGTGCGAACTTATGCCAGTTCGCGCTTACGTCATTCGCACTTATGAAATTCGTGCTGATTCAGTCGCCCTGTCATAATCAGGTCTAGAGATTCTAATTTTCATAACATTTAGAAAGAGTTAGAACAAACATAACTACCATGTGTCAAAACATTAAAAAATTTTATTAGTAAACTGATGAGCATAGCTCTTAGCTATTAACGCCAAATATAATCCTGTCTGCATTTTTTTTGTTAACAAAATTTTTTTAACTTAATAAAATTTGTTCTTCCCCATGCAATATTGGAATAGTTAAAATAATAAATAAATGAAAATTTTTTTTTTTTTTTTATTTTTTAAAAATTCAGTATTTAGGAATGGGTTTGCTCAATATGACATTAAAGTATTTTTTTATTTTTTATTTTCATTATATTTTTCAATAGATTTAATATGAAATTTCTATGAAGTTGTTGATTCCTTTTTAATGACTGACTTACTCATAAAGAGAATGCAACCAATCCTTAGACCAGAAGCTGATAACTCTTTCCATTCATGCAATAACATAAAGATTTTTTTAAATATTTAATGAAAAATTGAATGAATTATTAGTTATAGATTTAGTAATAGAGAAAACTAAGCTTATGTTGTTTCGCAAAAAGGTGATCAAATTCCTTTAAAATTACCCATTTTCTGAGAAAACCAGGTAAAAGTACTGTTGATTCAAAAGTGATATCCTTCAATCATGCCTAATTTTTATATACTAATGGTGATAATGGTAAAAAAGAACCCTGTAAATTTTTTTTAAATATTTGTAGTTCCTGAGTTATGGTCTATCAAACTTTTGAAACTTGTGATTTTTAAACTTTAAAGGCATTGAGACAATAGGATGTTTCTTTTTATATTAAGGAAGTATATGTAAAGCTTTCAAAAAAAAAAAAAAAAAAATTCAAAAAAACTGAGGAAAACCCTTTCTTAGTTTATAAGCTGAAATCACACATTTTTGAATTTAGGGCTTTGTCCACCAATTTAAAACTTTCATTGAATTTGTTTGCCGACTATATGTTGTCAATAACTGTTCTGAATAGACTTGCGTCAGAGTTTTTAATTCTGTTCATAATAAAGAGGACAAGTTAAAATATTGGCCGTTCAGCAAAGTAGGGATCAATTCAGTGAGTTTGAAAAAATACAAACAACAATGTATGACAAAAAAAGAAGGGCACTTACAAAGCATATTTTGAAAAAATAGTTATTTCACCAAAAAAAAAAAAAAAAAGTTTGACGAGTTACAATTTACAAGCTGTTTTTAAATTTTTTTTCTTGATTGATTGTTATATCATTATTGACCTTAATAATGTTATTATATATATTTCTTAGCTGAAAATTTAATTTTTTTACCTCAACTATCCTACTAGAGACTGAGCAAAATAAAATTGTTACAATAAAAAAATTTTGCAGCGCCTATATGAAAATCAAACTTATTTATTTTAAAGTCTAATCAAACTTTATGTAAAGTAAAACATTAAGGTGGTACGTAAACATTCTTTAAAAAAAATAAAGTAAAATAGATGGGAAGGGGGTGGGAGGAGAGGAAGGAAATGAACCTTCTGCTGCCCACGGCTAGCCCATCTATAGGGGGTCCTATATAAGAAATTATTTTTTAGATTAAATTTTGGCTTAAATTCCGTAATCATGAATTTGATAAAATTTGTAAAGTTTGATAAAAAAATTAGTCAATTGATAATAATCCATATAATAACCTAAAATTATAATGTTTCCCCTTATTTCTCCTAGGTCAAATCAATGTACTTTTTTAAAAACTTTACTTTCCAACCAATTCCAAAATAATTTTTAGGCATTTTAGAGTTCATAGCAAAAAAAATAGTTTTTTATTTCAATGTTTAAGGTCCCCACTTTTTGGTTAAAATAATAGGTGTTTTAAGGCACAAATTGTAAAAGCAGGGACCTTAAAAATGGTTTAAAAAAATTTTTTTTAGCGTAAAGTTAATTTTACTTAACTGGTCAACTAACCCAGGTGGTTAGGATTTATTTTGAAAAATTTTTTGAAAAATGATGCACCCTAATATACACTATAAATTTAGATAATTATTATTTTTTTATTAATTTTTTTTTCTGAATTTGTTTTTGATCTCTAGTTGTTAGGTTCTTGTTTTTTTTTTTTTTTTTAGGCTAGCCTTGCAGTTTTTTACTGAAGAGCAGAGAATAGATTGTCAAGGAAATTATGATTTTGAGTTCATCTTTGATCATGATAATGAAAATTTAGTATGTGTTTTAGTTTATGCCTTTTTATTTTAAAAGTTTTTAACTGGTTGAACTCATGTTTTGTTTTAGTTTACTTAGCTATGTTGATAATTTTAAGTTCATGTTGGTTTTTTTTTTTGCTCCAGGAAGCAAACTTTTTTTACAAGTATGTAGCTTTTTTTTTGTTGCAAATTTTGTGAATTTGTTGAATAATTGTAGTACTTTTTTTTTAAAGATATCCTCACCAAAAAAAACCAAATTTGATTTAGCTGATTTAACTAAAATGGCAGTTTCTAAAGAAGAAAATTTACTTGGAGGTATTTAATAAATTTATAATATGTGTAACCTAAGTAATAATTCAGTTAAAATGTGTTTCTAATAAAGTCTTTTTTAGAGGTTGAAATTGATGACCGTAACAGTTCTTTGGCCCACTTAAAAGCAAAGTTGATAGCATGTTTTGACCCTGAGTCAATAAAAGATATTCTATTCACTCTGCATAAGTTTTCTCCAGAAGAATCACATGCAGTAGTAAGTTCTATTGTGTGTATTATTTACAAGAAAATTTAGTTTGAAACTCACACAAAAATATTACAAAAAAAGTGGAAAAAAAACAATAAATAACAAATGACTGGATATGAATGATGCACACATATTATATTGTATATTATATTATATACTGAGTTAAAGTAAAAGTTGTTTGAAATAATGCAAACATTTAAAATATCATTTAAATAATGTTTACATTATTTAAAATGCAAACATTATTTAAAATGATATTTAAATGATAAATATTTAAAAACATGCAAACATAAAGCTAATGTAACACAACCTCAATGAATAAACAAAATAAAAATTATTTGATAGAGTTTTTAAATAAATATTTAAAAACTCTATCAAATAAATTTTGCTGCATTGATATGTGGTAATAATATGATGAAGTTTGCAACTTAAAGTATCAAATGAAATTGTCTACCAGTTGCATTTTTGAGACTATTCACAGTATGCTATACATGATCAATTCTTTCTTCCAGGAAAGTGTTGTCTGGGAGCAGTTAATATGCCACAAACTGATCATAATCACAACCTACATTATCTCCAATTAATGCTTTCAAAGTAGGAAATCTGTTGACAAAGTATAACACTGATTTAATTTCAACTGACTTTTCTTTTCAAATTCAACAGACTATTCTTAATTTAGAGAACAGCTGCATGTTCAACAACAGTGTCAGTCAATGGAAAATGACCTTTTCCATATAGATAGGTTACCTGCATGAATTGAATTGCTTCAATACTTGCTTCCTCATTTGGTAAAAAGTTTTTATTTCTCAACGATTTACTGCTGTACATGTTGTGAATCCTATCATAACGTTTTCTTTGCCAAAAAATAATGCTGGATCAGTGACATTATCAGGCAGTACTGAAACCTACTCCACTTTAATAAACCTCCCCAAGAGACTGTTCAGGAAATCCATGGTTTTACTTTGCACCACATGAATTTTAGGTTCTTTTGATTAAAAAGTTTTATTTAAAAATAAAACTGATTGATAAAATACCAGGTAAACTTTGGTATTCTTATCTTCAAGGTTAGTTACTGCTACATCTTTAGCTGCCTTCTTATGCTGAGGACCACCTTTATATCTGGTAATATTCAAGAACAGTCACATATCTGAAATAAAAAAACAACAACTAATTACTATTATGAAACCTAAAGCTAATATTAAGTTTCCATAAATTTAAAAATTGTGACAGTTGAGTAAAAAATCACCTAAACTTAGTTTTAATTTATTTCAAATTTATTTACATATTTGTATTTCAAAACTTTGCTAAATATATAGAACATTAAGTTTATAGCAAAATAAAATTCGGACCGTTTTAGGCATTTTGGGCTTTTGGACTGTTCCCTAACAATTTCGAGATTATAGGGTTATAGTACAACAAAAGTATAAAATTACATTTTATACTTATTGTGCATTTAGCTTTGACTTCATTTATTGGCTGAATAAAAGAAAGTTGTGTGTGAAAGTTGTTGAATAAAAAAAAGCTGTGTGTGAAAGTTGTTGAATAAAAAAAAGTTGCGTGCACTTTTAAAAGAACAAGACATATGGTTTCTTTTCTTTGATTCATTCAACACCATTATGAATTTTTAAATTAGTACCGAAATCAAAATAAATCTTTATTTTAAAAAACTGTTAAAAGCAAAAAAATAATTAGTTTTTAAGGAAGTGGGGGCATAACTGCCCCTGTAACGTTTGGGCTAATGTTAAATGAAAATAAAAATGAAATGTGTTTTTCTAACAGTTTCTTACAATAACCACATCATTAAGCTTTAAATTGCGCCAATTAAAAAAAAATTAAACAGCTTTTAAAAATGTTAGTTCACAAAAATTACTCTTAGTGAAAAAAAAAGTTTTGTGCCCATTGTGAGGCACAATCGCAAGCTTCAAAAAATCATTGTGGGTACACTTTTCTTGGTACATTTTCTTTACAATTGTCACAGCTCAGATTATTTGCTGATTTTGTTGAACATTTGCATACAGTGTAGGTATTCTTTGTACTTCTAGTCTGCGTTTTCTCATTCGATATGCTCTTAGCTTTATATTTTAATCAAAAACTCATTTATAAAAATTAATTAAAAAAAATACGAATTCTAATTTCCAACATCTCAAAACAAAACTATTTCTATTCAAGTTTTTACATTCAAGTGTGACAAGTGTAATTATTGTTATTCATAATTACCTAATTTTGATAAATATTAAACGTATGCAGTTGTACCTCCTATGCAACTCTACGGTTCTGCCCGCTCGATGTAGTCATATTCATAAGAAATAAATAGTCTGGAAGCAAACAATGACCGATTATTTTAACTTATTGTATGTGATTTTTGCTAATCCCCAGATCTCCAACCCTGCACAAGTTTTTAAAAATCCTGTTGTTTATCTAATAAACTAATTTTCTTGTAAAACTTCAAGATATATTGCAAATGCCGAGTGGAAACTGTTCAATTTATGGGTGTTCTGTCTCAAGAAGTCATACTGGAGTTGCTTTCTTTAAAGTTCCTAAAGTAATGGACAATTTTACAATAAAATAGGCTTCAGAATTAATTAACATTATAACAAAAGATTGAATTGTTAATGATATTCTTCGAAAGAAAATAAACGATTTTGAACATAAAAAATTGTGGATATGTGAGCTTCACTTTTCCCCTGAGCAAATTTGGTGTTATAAAACAAAAAAATAAATAAATAAAAGATGGAGAACTACCATCGTTAAATTTACCAAAAAAGAGCTTAGAATCGTCAGCTTCATGTTCTGTTATTCGATCCTCATTGTCAATGTCTAAGCGAGAAAAATCTCAATTAAATAAGTTATGGAAGATTGAATTTTTTGATAATTTTTGTTATACTTCATTTAAGTAATTAGAAGAAGTGATTCCAAAATTTAAAATTTTTGTTGAAGATTCGTTATATATTACTATTCGTGTGTATGGAAGGATGTTACCTGAAACACATAATTTATACTTGAAATACAAAAGGTCATTTCTAAATGTGATTTTTTCACAGTTTATTTTTGAAATAGAATCATTAGAATTTTGCAATGGAATAAAAGTTCCTGATCCTATTGAAGTGTTAAATTTTCAGAAGCATGTTGTTTCTAAAATTTTTGATTATTTTGTTTATAAAAGTTCTTTATCAAAGTCTAAACTAAACAAAGAGCAGCAGAAGTATTTGAGTTGTTTCAATTTTTTATCTATCAGATACCACCCTGCAATAATAAAATATTGTCTAAACCTAGCTGCTAAATCACTATCTGCTTATAGCAATCTGCGATATGATCCACAGACAGGTGTAGGCATTTTAACTCTTCCAAGCTTAAGAACTTTAAGAGATCACAAAAATTACATATGACCTACTAGGGGATTTAATCCAGCTGTTTTAAGTGAACTTGCAAAAAAAGCACAAAATTTTCTTCTTCTTAAAAAATTTGTTTTAATTATTTTCAATGAAATGATCCAAGAAGATCCAAGAAGGTTTAGTTTGGGACAAATTTGAGAACTTATTAGTTTTGTTGATTTAGGTGATAAAGAAATTAATTTTTCTACTTTAAAAAATGTTAAAGAATTAGCTACTCATATACTTGTGTTTCGTAAAGAGCATTGTTAATCCTTTATCATTCAGTTTAGCTACTTTTTCAACTACTGAAATTACGTCATTTCAGCTGATGCCTATTTTTTGGAAAGCTGTTTGTTATCTTGAAAGTATAAATTTAAAAGTAATTTCTGCAACAGCTGGTGGTGCCTCTCAGAACAGAAAATTTTTTAGAATGCATAAGAACTTAAATATAAATGTGTGTAATGATTTAGTTTGTAGAGCTCACAATATTTACTCTAATGAAAAAGGTTACATATATTTCTTTACAGATGCTCCACACTTAATTAAAACTGCTTGCAACTGCCTTGCAAATTCTGGTTCTGGAAGAGGTACTCATTATATGTAGAATAATGGTTTACACATACTCTGGAGTCATATTTCTTTCAACTTTATTATGAGGACTTAGAATGCAGCTTAAGATTCGTGATCAAGTTAAGACAAGTGATCACATTAATTTAACCCCATAATCAGTAATGCGTGTTTACTTGGCTTCTCAAGTGTTAAGTGAAACAGTTGGCAATGTTTTAAAAGAATTTGGTCCACCAGAATGCGCAGAAACTTCTCAATTTTGTCTCATGATGGATAATTTTTTTGACTGCTTAAATGTTTCAAGTAAAAATAAAGCTATTAAAAACTTTGTCACTTAAATTCTTTCAGAAAGATTTTGTCAAGATGATTTAGAAAACTACTTTGGAAGGCAGTGTGCCATTGGCAGCAGACATGATAATTCCACTGTCATGCTGGGTATAATGACAACATTATTAAGTTACAATATTCTATATGATCTATTGTCGGTAACGTTCAAGGTCAAAGACATAATTTTAATGAGATGAATGATTCACTACTGTCAAAAAGAAAAAAAAAATCAGACTAAATAGCAAATTAACAATGTCCCGAAGAGTGGCTATAATCCTGTCGAATCAGCTATTTTCATAGCTACAAATAAAAATAATAACATTATTGGCTAAGAATTCACTTTTTATGCTTGTGACATAAGTTACTGTTTATTTATAATATTATTTATTTTGTTAATATTGAAATATCGATTTATATCAAATAAAAGTGTTTCTTTAATATTAGCAATTCTTAATCAATTATAAAAATACTCTTAGGTGCTATCTTAAGTCAGATTTTTATCACACTCTTGTATTAGGCACCCAAGATTTACAATAAATTAAGCAAGGTATTCTTAATATAGACTGATAATTCCCTAAATTTATAAATTAAACAGTATTTGTGTAACATTACTCTCAGGTGCTAAATATCTAATAAAAAACTGGGTCTCAATAAAAGGGTGAGTGGGAATTTTTTTATCAAATCTAATAAACTTTTACTTGAGGTTTTTTTATTAATAGGCCAATGGTTATTAAAGCCTGATTATGCTAAAAGTTTTCATTTACTTTAGTGAGTTTATATTTTCTAATTTGTAAGGCCAATTTACACTGAATGCATATATAATTTCTTTTATTTGTTGATAACAAATACAAAATAATGAAGGAGGGGGGTCTTTATAAGCACGGTGTAGGAAAATTACCCCAGGACTGTTAAACCTTCCTCTAGAGTAGAAAGCTTTTATGTGCATATGTAGGAGGGACCCACAAGTGCATACAAAATGAGGGGGTTTTAAAACAACAATTACACGGAGTAGCAAATATATATCTTTTTATAGTAAAATTTATGACTAATTTGCTAAAAAATGGGTTCGATTGCAACTGACAACCACTCCCCTCAACGGTACAAGCATGACATCCCTCTTTTTTAACCAAAGTCAATGCATTTTTTTTCTGGGTCATTTAGTATTGGCATCATTGAACAGCCTACTTTTTAATTTAGTACAAAAAAAGTTGCATTAATAAAAATAATAAAAAAAAGTTGCCTTAATAAAAATAAATAAAAAAGATGTCTTGTTTGTTTTTATTTTTTCGGAAATATATAGGACTTTTTTTATATTTTCTGAAGTTTCCTGTACTATTAGACTTAACATTTAATAAATGTAAAAAGGCCTAAAAATGTAACATTTACTAAATCTAATCTTTTAACTGTGATTGTTTTATCAAGAACTTATTAAAAGAACTTTTTTTGCTAAAAAAATTGTTTTAATAACAATCAAATTTGTTTGTTTGTTTTTCCCCCAGCAATTATACTAACCTATACCACAGAAAAGTTAAAAAAGGATTAGGGGATGATCCCAATAATATATTAAGAATATTCTTCATATACCATAATTATGATATATTAAAAATTTAAATTTAGGTATGGTAAAAAATTTAAATTAAAGCAAACAAAAATTCCTTTTTAATAAAAATTACTAGGGTGTGACATTTTTTACACATTGTGTCTGTGTATACAAGGGCGCACAAAGGGTAGAGGATCTGAGTCAGTTTCTGACAGGCAACACGTTTAAGGGAGGATAATTACTAGAAAAATATTATCAGAAAGAAATATTTAAAATGGGCAATAAAGATATCAGAATTGTTAAAAACTAATACTCTTTTTTTATTCAACAACATATAAATATCAATATTTTTATTTAAAAATAACTAAGTTATTTTAGCCATAACATTTTAATTAAATTTGTGGCTATAAAAATAACCATTTCATATCTTCTAAAGCAGATCAGGGATGAACCCAAGACCAAATTTATGGATCAACTACATTGCTGCACGTCGCTTTTTTAATCTCTGTTCTTATAGAAGATTTGCGTGCTTGTCGCTTGTTGATTTGATGTTTCTCAGGAATATCTCTAACATAGGAAAAGAAAGATATTTCTTTATCAATTTGCACTTCAGTACTGTAACATATATTGTTAAAGTTACTTTTAATCACTGAGTCCTTAAACATTTCATTAACCAGAGCTTTGCTGTTAATAGATGTTACAAAAGATTTTCTTTGTTTACGAAAAATTATTTCACATTGGATAAAGATATTTTGAGTATAGATGATAGTTTTAAATAAACTACCTCTGTTCTTACTAAGGTATTAACATGTTTAATATTAAGGTATTAACATGTTTTTGGGTATCATCTGAATCAATTTTGCATGCTGATAATATTTCTATGCGTTTTTTTTTATACTGCTCATCAGATTTATAAAGTTTGAACTTTGAATAAAGTTTTTGAACAACATAGCCTGACAAATATTGAATTATACTTAAACCTTTATCAGAAAAAACATAAGATGACGAAAATTTGCTATTAGATGAAGTATGGTTACTTTTTGAAAGATCTTGAAGTATTTGATTTCCAACTTTGCTAAGCAAAGTATTGGTCAGTAAAATATTGTCAAACTTTGATGGCAATAAATTTTCATAAAGAAGTCCATAAAATTTTCCTGCATCACCATTCTATTTCGAAATAAAATATTGAAATTTTTCGAAAAGAGAAATTGAATTTTCAGAACTAAAAGAAAAGATCTGCCTTGAACATTTCAGGCAAGCATAAATCATTTGATAATTTACAAGATAAATTCTTCAACAATTTTCTTAAGATCAAGATAATTGTATGGAGTCTTTATCTTTGCTAATTGAGTTGATTTGTTCGTGTTTCGAAGTTTCATGTCTTTTCAGGCCATATTTCATTTTATAAACTTTATAACACAAGTCGCACGAAAAATTGGATTTAAAACAAACTTCCGATAATAGATTATATAGATCTTGTTCAATTTCCATGTTATTGTCAAAAATTATATCAGTTAGAGCCATATACAAATTATCAAGCTGTGTTTCTACATGAAGTTCAGTGCTCATTTTAAAAACTGTGCAGGGTGAACGGGCAGAAATTCAAAATTTAAGTTAAAACAGCAAAACAAGACCCATTCTTCCAGACTATGTATTTCTTATGACTATGGTGTAGTTAAGGAGATTTACAAATTATTTGAACACTTTTATTTGGAATTAGCATGATTTTAACAGCGTATTATGTCCAAACAAAAGCGTTAGATGGTATAATTTTTTTTGCTTCAGGTTTTTTTAAAACTGGTCTGGGTTTTTTTGCTACAACCATTTATATTTTATGATACTGCAAAATTTATCATTTTAATATTTTTCGTCTTTTTGTAATTCAAAGACCTGACCATTTAACGGAAATATGTCGCAGTCAACAAAATATCATACAGATGTTCGAATAGATGTTATAAAAGTTAGACGTTATAAAATATGATGTAAATGTAATATTTTTATCAAAATAAACATTATTATGCACAACTTCTCAGAAACGTAAGAAGACGTTATAAAATATGATGTAAATATAATAATAAAGAAGACGTTATAAAATATGATGTAAATATGATATTTTTATCAAAATAAACATTATTATACACAACTTCTCAGAAACGTAACAGGCACTGTCTTTTTGACAGTGAAATGATATATGTATGAAAATGTAAAATGATATAATGAAATATATATATACACACACACACATACACACACAAATATATATATATATATATATATATATATATATATATATATATATATATATATATATATATAGAAACTTTAGCTGAAAGTTGTATATATTGTTTGTAATAGAGCTTTACATGCATCCATTTTATAATCGCATAGGGTTATGAGTGTTCTATATATGAAGAAATATTTGTAGATGTGCAGGATTTGTTAATGCAAGATACTGTTCACATATGTGTTTCAAAAGCAAAGCAGTTATGTACATTGAAGGTGATTTCTGTTTTCATTTTTTAATTATACAATATTTGTTACTCAAAAATTGTTAATTATCTTGCTTTTTTATAAGGATTTCAGAGAAGCTTTGTCTATTTTGAATGTATGCGTAGACACTTTGGTATCTTATGGAAATAGAGTAAGTTCTGGATGTTCAATTTCACGTGTAAAAAACGTTTTGCATCATGAGTTATTGTGGATCGAACTTAAATTTGCAGAGCATGATCCTGACAGGTTACATATTTTAATTTGATAAAAGTTTGAAAAACAAAAACCTTTAATATAATGCTCTAGAACATAAATTTGACACAGTTCAAGTTTTTAGAGAAATCTAAAAATCTGAAATTAAATGAGAAATCATTTTTTATATATCTAATCAAGAAGATTGTTTTTAATATCATTTACATTTGTATATGTATTAAAAACAATCTTCAAAAAAAAAATTCTCCAAATAATTATGTGATTGATAGTTTTTTATTTATTATAAAAAACACATATTTATGATAAAAAACAATTTATTACTTAAATTTAAAACTCATTTTAAAGACTTTAATAGAAACAATGCTGAAGCATGATTATTTCAATAGCATTATTATTAAGTAAAATAACTAATTATGCTATCAAAGATAGTAATTATGTTTTAGCATGGTTTATGCATGCGTTAACAAAAGCATACAAAGCTTCACATAAAATGAATGCATTTGAAATTACTTTTAAAGAAACCATGCTTAAACATGATTGCTATTTTCTATAGCTTTTTTTTTTAGTTTTCTTATTTTCCTTAAAGTGAGTTAATATTTATTTGCATATTAAAAACATTTAAAAATGTTGAAAAGAATATTTAAGTTTTCCTGAAATATATAAAATCTAATAGAATATAGAGAATTAATATGTTTATTATTGTTTTTATTTTTTATTTTACATTTAACAACGCTAATAATATAAAAAGCATTTGTATGTATGTATGTATGTATGTATGTATGTATGTATGTATGTATGTATGTATGTATGTATGTATGTATGTATGTATGTATGTATGTATGTATGTATGTATGTATGTATGTATGTAGTTAAAACAAAATTGTCAAAATGAATGTTGTATTTAAATTCTAACTACAAACTGTCTATTTTAGTAGTAAACAAAGCAACTAAAATAAAAATGAAAAAGAAAAAATGTTTTATTAATATTAAATAAAATAATTAAAATAAAATTGGCAAAAAGAATTTTTATTTTAATTCCTATAAAATGGCAAAATGCTGCATTTGTTTTTGATTATTTTAAACAAATATCAACATTTTAAAGAAAAGTCACCACACTTTTTGAACTCTATTTCTAAATATTGTGTCAACCTGATACCGACCTAAAACACTTTTTGGTTGGCATTAATTTGCTACTTCAAAGGGCTAATATATATAAGTATACATATGTATATATACATATGTATGTATACCTATGTATATATATACGAATTGTAGATCTTTAAAACAGTTTAACATTAGAAAGGACATCTGGTTGTAAAAAAATTTTTAGATTTTTCTATGTTATATTTAATTAAGAAAACAGATTTGTGGGCATCACTAGTGTAGAACCATAAATAATAGGAATAAAACAAAATGAAATTAGTTAAATTCAATACAATAAGTTTTTTTTATTATTATCATTATTATTATTATTGCTATTATTGTTATTATTATTATTATTATTATTATTATTATTATTATTATTATTATTATTATTATTATATTATTTTATATGGCTTTATTTAAACTGTTTTTTTTTAAATAAAAATTTCAAAGTTTCATAAATTTCATAATAAATTTGAAATAATTTTTGTTACTAATCTTGATTAATTTTCAAAATTGTAACATTATTAGTGCTAAGCCACAAGAGGCATTGAGGCGTTGCAAATCTTGCATTCAACATCGTACACAAGGTAGTTTGATTTTTTAATGTGACCCGAAATCTTGGTAATTGTTTTAAATATATTTTTATAAGCCTTTATATAAATATTCTAGACCCCTCACCACGATCACATATATTTGAAGCAATTGTTTTATTCTTAATCAACCACAAAGACTATGAATTTCTCATAAATTTGGGAGCAACGTCAGATGTGAAATCGGTTGATTACATTCAAGTAAGTTTTAAATTTTTATTCATGTCATGTTTTTTCTTCAAATTTTTTTGTATATTGGACTGTTGTTTTTAATTAGTTTTTATTTACTTTCAAGTTTCTTTTAAATTATTTAATTTAAAAAGTTGAATTTAAAAGAAAGTTTTTAATATATAAAATTAGGAAGGTAAAGAAACATCAAGTTAACAATATTGTTAGCTTGATGTTTCTTTTAGAACAATAGAATAAACAATAATATTAGAGTACATAGAAACAACAGATTGTACAAAAATGAATAAATTATTATTCATATACAAAAGAATAAGTTAGGATTGTGTGTGCATTTATGTGTTTTTAAGAAGTTTTCATACCATATAGTAGATATGTCTACTTTAACATGTTTCTATCTAGATATATTCAATTATAAATGCTATAGTGAGCTTAAAGATATAAAACAGTTTTAATACCTTGTGCAACAAAAAGATATAAAAAAGAAATAAAAAAATATGAATTTTTCTAAATATATTAATTCACACTCAACAAGGCTGTGAGTTAGGGTGCATACTATTCTCTCTTTAGTAAAATGATCTGTTTTTGGTAATCACATGCAACTCTGTTAAATTTTTCAAAAATGTAATTGGGTTTAGGGGTGCTAGCTCAAGTCTGAACTTTGCAAAGTTTTTTTAAAGTATGTTATATTGGATTTCAAAAAAAGTTTTATAAAAATTTTGAAAAAATAATAATTTTTGTTTTTGCTGTGCAGAAAATTAAATTTTTACAATAATTAGAAACATGAATCGTAATAAGTACTTTAATAAAGACTTGTATTTTTAATAACAGTTTTTGTTTTACATTTTTGAATAATATGGCTGGTGGTTTCCAAAAGACATAAAATTTCAAGGCATTCTACTTGATGACTTATCCAATTTGTCAAAGTCAATTTTATGCCACTAACTAATAAATTTTCCCATATCTTATGTATTATTAAGCATTAGTTTTTGACATTACTTTCTCCGATAGAGTGATCTTGTAATTGGAGAGGCTTAATCATTCTATTCAATATTTGATCATTCTCAAACTCAGTCAATTAACTTTCACAATTTTTGAAATTTTTTTTTTTGATTTGAGCTTTAAGTTATTTTCTGCTAAAAATATAAATGGCTTCCCATTAACCTATCTTTCTGAAAGTGTAGCATGAGTGTCCAAATAAACTGCTTTTGTAGTTAATCCCTCTATTTTTACAAATAGAGGGATTAACTAATTAATCCCTCTATTTTTACATATATATATATATATATATATATATATATATATATATATATATATATATATATATATATATATATATATATATATATATATATATATATATATATATATATATATATATGTATATATATTTATATATACTAGCAGTAAGCAACCCGTAATACGGGTTAAATATAACTAAACCATTAGTAACAACATAAGTTACTACGTTATCTAAAAAAATATATCTAAATACAAATTTATCTGTAAATAATTTTACAGATAAATTTGTATTTAAAGTTCGGCTCCCTATTAGCAATGTCATTGCTTATAGTTATAATTATTTTATAAAACAGCAAACAACGCGTAAAATATGTTTATAGACGGTCATTATCAATAGTGTTAAGAAGTACGCAAGAGCTCCGTACTTATTCAGGTTTTATCTCGCTTTATTAATTCTTATTTAAGTGAGACTAAGACAGTGTTTCCAAGGCACCGTACTAAAAAAAGACATAATAATTAGCTTAAGGGAGTTACTGTTAAATATAACAAAAACTATTTTTTTTTGGATATATATTTTTTTTAGAGTGAAGGCGTTTTTATTATCATTTAGTTGAAATTTTCCTTAACATCTTTAAATTTTTTGGAGCGGTTAAAAAATTTTATTATAATATTTATATAAATGTTAACTTCTAATGTCTAACGGGACACTTATTAATTTTTTGATAACCCCCTCTCCTTTATTAAGGAATTCTATTTAACTTAAAAGCGTTTAATGTGCGCATAATTAAATTTTAGTTAATTACATAAAGGTCTCTCCGTCATAGATGAAAAATGCATTTTAAACAGAAATTTTCAAATATTTCATGCTTCTAAAATCCGACCCTTCCGTTTATTACAAAATCACAAATTTATTTAATAATATTTTTTTTAACAAAACTTTATTATTTAATAACAAAACATAATTATTATTTGTGTTCTCCTGTATCGCATAAATACCTCACATGGTGTCTAAAAGAAAAATGTAATAGATAAGTAAATATAATAGAAAAGAAAAACATTTTTAAAACAGGAAAACAATTAACCTGTTTTTGGCAAACTGCAGTTGCTGTTTTGATTTCTTGCTGGCTTTTATTAAAGACGAAAAAATTAACATTTATTAAAAAACAAATTAAAAATGTTTTAAAGAATAGAACTATGCACAACACTAAAGATAAAAAAAAAACAAATTGAAATATAAACAAATTGTGTTTATAACAATATGTTTTGTCTTGGCTTTTAGTGAATGATTAGAAACAGTAAGCTCCATGAATAGAACTACCAATTAATCATTTTTAACGATAGACACCAACGGGAAGGTAAGCCAACTGTCTATCAACACAAATCATCACAACAATATTACAACGATAACGCACAACAAAAGCACATAAGATATTTATAAGTACACATTACACTTGCTCTTTACAATGGCAAAGTCAAACCACTTTGAAACCACTGCATAAAATAGACAAAGAAACAAACTATAAACATATCGTCACGATCATAGCACAATCGTCTAAGTCATTTTTTTCTTGTTTTGAGAAAACTAAAAAAAAAAATGAATAACTTCGGTATTTCTTTTGCTACGTCGCTTTGGTTTTTTTTTGGCATCTTTTTACTTAGATGCTTTTATATATTGCTTTAGAAGTGATATGTGTATTACCGTTGAGACACAATAGGATATAGGTCAAAAGCAATAAGATATAAGTAAAAATGCGGATTTAAGCAGAAGTGAAAAAACTAAAAATCAACTCCTTTCTGATTGGTTTAAGGCGATTTGCCACATTATTAGACTGTTTAAGCTATATATTTCAACTCTTAACTTCCGAAAAACCCCCAAAAAATGACTTAGGCAATTGTGCTATGATCGTGACGATATAACATTATAAAACATATTAACACATTTAACACATTATATATTTGTATGTACATATGATGCCTAATATTAATAGACATTACGTGTTTCCAGAATAATTAAAAAAGGCTAGACAACACAACCTAGCCACAACAAAGCAGTAACACCACTTGGCACTAAACGCTGCCAAGTCACACCTCTGCTTTAAGTACACTGCTTGGCTGGCAAGGTTAACTACCTTGCTCGACACGTTTGCCAAGTCACACCACTTTGAAAACATGGAAACAACGTAATATAAACATATATACACAAACTATAAACACATATACACAAACCCTAAACACATAACCTTGATAACACATATAGCCCAAGTATTACATGAACAATTTAAATAACAACTAACACATAACATAAATATAACACTTACATAACACCTATAACAATTATAAACATGTATAAAGACAAATATAATTACTAAAACAATATAAAATAAAACTATGAAAAAAAGTGAAAATTATAACAAAAATCTCATAATTATAAATTAAGAACATTAAAAAATACAACACTATTTGTATAACACTTTTCACCTATCATACCTTGAATGGGATGTTTATCAATTTTAAAAAATAAACTATTAAATGCTCTAGTTCTTGAACATGCAACATAAAGTTGACCATGAGTGAAACACGGTTTCTTTAGATATACACCAACTCTATCAAATGTTTGACCTTGACTTTTATTAATTGTCATTGAATATGCCAATCTGACAGGAAACTGGCGACGTTTTAGAACAAAAGGTAAATTAGAATCTGACGGAGCCAACTGAATTCGAGGTACAAATACCCGTTTACCAGCAGAAACACCTGTCAAAACCTCTGCATCAATATAATTATTTTGAAGAGCACAAACTTTCATTCGAGTGCCATTGCATAACCCAGCTTTGAGATCTAAATTTCTAAGTAACATAATTATACAACAAATTTTAAACTTTAAAGAATGAGGAGGCATACCTGAGGGAGTTAAGCTATTTAAAAACTCAACAGGAAAGTTATTTCTTTCATTAAGATTGTCTGTCTCAACTTGATCAGCACTTAAATAAGTTTTGACCTCACCCAGTAGACGTTGAAGCACTTCCTCATAGATTGATAGTGAATCCACAATAGTTGGTGTCAAAATGACACGTTTAGCATAATCGTCTTGTTCGGCATCCCCAAATATCTTTTCAACAATGGAGTCATTTTCCCTAATAAGGCATTGATGCGGTATTTCAATGCACCCTTTAAAAGGATCTTCCTCTTTGACAAATACTGTTCCACTACCAAGTCTCAACAGCCAATTTGAAAATTCCCTTTCCCCATCATGTACTCTCATATTTTCTGTTAACTTAAACTTCTGCACCCATTGCCAATGTAAAGAACATTTTATACATGCTTCTACAACTTCAGCTGGTTGTCCTCTTTTCACAACAGGCAGTATTTGTCTAAAGTCGCCTCCAAAAAGAATGGCTTTTCCTCCAAATGGAAAGTTGTTGTTGCAAACATCTTTTAATAACCTATCAATTGCATTTATTGCATGTTTGGGTATCATGGATGTTTCATCAAGCAAAAACAAACTAACCTGACTTAAAAAGTGTCCATGTATAGAGTTTGGAGTAACATTACATGTGCTGTTATCTAATATTGGAACAGGAAGTTTGAATAAGCCATGCAATGTAGATCCATTTGTAAGAAGAGTTGCTGCTATGCCAGTCCATGCAGCTGTAGCAGATTTGATACCTCTACTGCTGGTTTCAGCAATTAAATAATTATATGTAAACGTTTTTCCACTACCAGCCGGTCCATGCATGAAAAACAATTGAGAATGCTGATTTTCTACACTTGGT